TGAATTTTTATTTTTTAGAAACAATATACATTAAATTTATATCCCTGATAGAGTAGTTTTCCAAGAGATTATGATTTCACATATTTGAAAAAAAGAGGAATTACTGTGTGACATAGATATATAGGTTGAAAATTTTAAAAGGGATAACTTAAGTATAGGTATGTGTCGGAAAAATGATCTTCTCCCTTTCTTTGTTTCTCTCTTTTCGTTTGCTCCTCCCTTTTTCTTTGTTCTTCTCTTCCTCTTTCCAGCTGCTCTTCCATAACTATTTCTTGTTCCAGCCAGTCCATGTTAATTACATGCTCTTCAAAACATAGGAAAAGTATCACTTAGTATTATCAATACACGACATTTTACAAAGCTGTTTAGCCCTGAGCCTCTGTGGTTTAATCTTTCCTTCAAAATCCGTAAACATGGCCGTCCAGTGATGGCCTTTGTCAAAAATACCACCAAAAATGTTCATACTAGAGATACAATAACGTTCACCCTAGAATGTGCACATGAACCATTAGGGAGAGTACCTCTTTCCGTGCCAATATTCTTTGATATGCCTGACATCTAAGTCACTGATTATTAATTTTCAAGTAATGTTTTATGTGAGAAAAGAGTAGAAGTTTGATTGCTTCTCAGGGACGAAATGCATCAGTACTTCACTATGCCAGACACCCTCATCTGAAGTTATGTGTAATTCATAACAGCTTTGTTCACTGGTTTTAAACCTCAAAGCAATTTTAAGAACTCCCTTAGAACATTCAATTTAAAAGGGACAATTTCCTGTTGAGTTGTAAAAAATTCTGTTCTATACTGAAAGTATGAGAAACCCTCCCAGGATGGCAGAGAAGAAATTAGTTTATCTCACCACGTGGTCCTCCATCTTGTGCTATGGTAGTCAACTCAGCAAAAATTGATCAACAATCCTATTTTAAAGGGAACGAGAGAATATGGGTGGTTACCAGTTTGCTTGGCACCCAGGTATTCAGAGAAAAACATAAGAGGATATGCAGAGGCTAAAGCCACTGTGTATCAAAGTATTCACTGAACAATATCTAAAAGTAATGTAAATTTTTCGTTTTTAGGGCCGATTTATGTGATACGACTTAATCGCATGCGACAAGCTTAAGGTTACTTCCCATTTTCGCGGGTGCCCTTCGGAAAAAATTTGTTTGCACACTACAGTAGTTTCACTAAAATCCTAGCAAACTGTTTATCAGAAGAAAGCTTCATAAATGTTTATGATAAAAATATACCTCAAGCAACTTTTCTTTCAAGGACGTGTCAGGATCCAATAAGGCAAGAAATGACCAAAGGGTCTTCTATTGAATTTATTGGTTATGGGATGCTGCAGCACCAGCTAATTAGGTGCACAGTCTTATTTACTATTCACACTAATTACACAACACCTGTGCAAAGCATGTCAATTAAAAATAACAAATATGGAGAGTGCAGACTACTTTCAATAATTTACAGTGCAAGCAATTTGTTCCTTACCATCATTATTTTGTGTTTGCTTTCCATTTACAGACTCAATTGGCTGTAATAAAAAAACAAATTCAAACAATTTTACCTTACTTCTTAAATGAGATACAATGAAATATATGAAGTTCATATATTTGAACTTCATATATTTCATATATTTCATATATGAACTTCATATATTTCATTGTATCTCATTTATCACTTTCACGGGTTTATTACGAATCAACTTAACGGCCTGCTCCCAGTTGGCTTGTCAGCTCAATTGGTAGAGCGCTGCACTAGTATCGCACAGGTCAGTGGTTTGAATCCCGTACAGGCCTGATTTTTTTTTTCAGGTCTGATTTTTGCTATTGCTTAAATAGCGCTATCTACTGCGAGGATCGTGCATCATATGTA